CTCAGATTCTGGGACATTCATACAGCTGTAGCAACATCAGGAGTGGAGTATTTAATTACAAGAGCTGTCTTTAATTAACAGTGCTCTTTCCAAGAGAAGGACTGTGTACATTAGTGATTGTAGCCAGAAGGCTTCAACAGTGTGTGAGAGCAAGGAGAAATTATTATTGTGCCAAACCAAAGTCTTTTTTTTTTGTTCTCTTTTTCCTGGAAGAATCACTGCAGCTATGGAATGCCAGCTCCTGGCTCTGACCCTCCTAGATCTACTGAAGGGACAGAACTTTCCCGACTACGTGGCCTCATTTGGAAATTCTCAAGCCCAGGATGTGCTTGACTGGGTGCCGATAACTCATCTCCACATCTCTGACCAGGTGAAGTTTGCCCTGCTCCTGCCCCCGTTAGCGCTCTCAAGGTCCTCTCTTGCCCGAGATCTGTGCCTGTACTGATCCCCTCTTCTCCAGAAAATAGAGAAATAAACTGGGGGAAAGTCCTCCTGGAATATCCAAAACAAGGAGATACAATTGCTGCAAGGAGAAAATTTACTTTTAATCAGGGCGGTATTCAAACACCTCAGTTACAGAGCAGAGCAACACGTTAGGAATGAAGCAACACCCCCAGCTTAGAGTCTTGCTCTGCGGCTGGGATGAAGCACGACTGGTGAGGCTGAAAGACTCACTGAGAGTAACAAAATCAGTGTTTCTGCTTGATGCTATAATATCATTAAAACTGCGGGTTCAGAATTCTGTCCTGGTGGAATTAAGGGTTTTGTACTGCCCTAGCAGCATTACTAAAACAAGTTATTTTTGACAGAAGCCTTCCTGCTTGCACGCTGAAAAGAACCATCTCAGCAATATCACAAAAAGCCGAAGTCCAATCGAGTTAATATCCAAATGTATCCTGCACTGCTGAGGTAGAATAGTCATGCCTGAAGTTACCAAGTCAGTTTGTCACCTTTGAAAGCGCACAGAATTTCTTCAAAACTGGGGGAAAACTCTAGGAATTCAGCTAAGAGAGGGCTGCAAGCCCAGGCAGCAGCCCGGAGCACAGGCACCACCAGCTGCTCTGGTGAGGGAGTTTTCTGGAGCTATTCTGCCAGTTTTATATGATAAATAATGTGGTTACCTCTGTACAACAATGAAAAAATTTATAATGTTTTTCAGAGCTCATGCCAAATACCAGTATCACTTGAAATAGAAGTGCAGTGGACTAAATACGGCTCGCTAGTCAATCCCCAAGCCAGAATAGTGAATGTTACAGCAACTGTCACTACTGCCACACTGAACCAGGTAGGTCATTAAATTGTAGGATTGAAGATGAAAGGAAGGGCTTGTTTTACTTAGGGATCAACTGTACGATAGCAGTCCAGTTAATCACGTTAGATAAGTAAATCACTTTAGGTAAGACTCTGTTAGAATGTATTGCATCCAGTTTTTGTTCCAACTCAAACATAACTGGGCTGCTTGCCAAAATACACTTCTCATAAAAGTTATACATCATTCATAAAAAGAAATGTTGAACTGCTAAGAAAAAAATATGAACCTGCTAAGAAAAAAATATACAAACGACAGCTGAATATTTAAACCTATTGCAAAAGAAAAAGCAGTGAAAGAGAAGACTGAAACTAACGCTCGGGTGCTTTCATTGCAGCTGCCCTCCGGAAGAGAAAGGATTGTTCCTATAACAAGTTCTGTTGTTTTCACTGACATTTCTTCACCTGCAGAGCCAGGCTATAAAGCTCGGCCCACCATTAATGTCAAATTACCCTTCGATTTTTTCTTTCCATTTGTCTAAGGTAAATATGCATCAAAAAAATCATTATTTCTGTTTTCTCTGACTTTGATCATGTTTCCTAAAGAAGCAGGGTTTATCCACTTAGGCAGTGGGTTTCTTGTAAGGTGTAGATACAGTGAGAGTCAATAGTGGCCAAGGGAGAAAGGCTTCAGGTTCTCACAGATCTGGGGTGGGGAGCTCCAAATTATACCCCTGCTGAAGGCAAAAAGGCAGCAGGATGAACTGTACACGTCCTGTGTCCTGCCATCCACAGGGATCTTGAACTGGCTCTGCAGGAAGGGAAGGGGACGGATCATCAGGGCACAGCCTACGGCTCCCTAGGAAACCAGGCTGCGTCATCCCTGCTGGTCATGAATAAATTGTTAATTAATCACGTGCTATTCAATAAGACCTCAGCTTTATCTATTTTAATAGATGAGTAAGGCACGTATTTCCAGCCATTTTTCCCAAACCACTAATTAACTAACTATTAAATTTTTTAAGAGAAAGGTAAGTGATGCTTATAGAAGAGCTCAATGACCCTTCCAGCTGACTGACTGAAAGCGACTGCAGAAGTTCCCTACAGTCGACACATTTTAAAATTCCCCGCTCAGCGAAACTTGCTCTTCAACTAAAAATACTCTCACCACAGGGACCTTCTGGTACCTGGAAAAGTGCACGTTGTGTTCAAACACCAGCCTGCTCCTTTAGAATATGCTGTCAAACGGTTCTTCTGGAATCTTAACTATTCCCAGCAGTCCACTCACCTACATCTGTTCTTACATATCCCAGTTCTTTTAATGCATTGATTTATGAGCTGTGGAAGCAATGGAAAATTTGTAGAGCAGCAGGCTGCAAATGAGCACTTACATGGAAAAAGAGAGGAGAGAAAATAGTATCAGAATTCAAATCTGCTGGTGCGAACCCAGGCAGGGTTTGACGTAAGGCACCCCTCATTTGCCTGTCTTTTTGTGCCAGTTTGATTGTCAGCTGAAGGAGTGGTGTGTTGGTATTTTTGGAAGGGAACATTTTATAAATATCGAGGTGGCACAAGCAGCAACAGAAATGAGGAAACTACTAACAATGCAAAAAGAATGGTTGGCAAAAAAGAGATGTAGCAACGATGAACGGTCATTGCAGAGAAGAAACGACCTTTTTGGCCTGGATCCTTATCGTTTGTGCTGCAAGATGCTACAAGATGTTGCTAACACAGAACACATAGCAGAAAATTGTAATTCTTTCAAATAAGTGGTACTTCCTGGATGTATAGCTTATAAGATGTGTCTTTATTATTAAATTATGTTGGAGCTTTGTCTGTACAACTGTACAAGAAAGGTTTTACGAGATCACTGTTTACAGGGAATGTGTGTTTAATTTTCCAATAAACCTATTTTTGCAATACCAAGATCTAATCAAATGTTTATAGACCACACTATACAAGAGAAAGCAAAGAGATATGAAAACCTTTCAGGTCAAATGGGTGCTTTCCAACACCACCCTCTCCACAGCAGACTTCCCACCTTCAACAAAACGGCTCCTATTTGGGCTCCCCGATGAGTCCGTGCTGTTTTAACAGCCTGTTAAGCCTCTCAATTTCTTGCTCCTGTTGGAGACAGAAATCATTACTATAGCTCTTACCTTGAAGATTTTCCCTGCTTCCTACAAATCTTCCTGCCCCTGGAATACACATGGCTCTGCAGGGAAAGGGACAGCCTGGCTAAAGGGAGTAAGACAGAGGTGGCTGCCCTTCCTTTGCAACAGAAACAGCTAAGGGAAGCACAGGCAGGACCGGCACGGCGGCAGTTCCGCAATCCAGCAGATCCCACAACTTTCTGGTGAGGAAACCAAGCTGAGAGCAGCAAGCTTACAACAGGATCCTGGGCAGCCTCTCCAAGGGAGCGCTGCAGGACAGGCCTTTCTTTGCTCAAATTAAAGGTGTTTCTTACCTTCTCTGCGCAGCTGTACTCAAGTTGCTCAACTTTGGTTGCAAGCTGCAGGTTTGCCTGTTTCAGCTTGGACACTTGCTGCTCAGAGCGAGTCTTTACCGATAAAATGATCCCTGTGGAACAAACGCAGCAGAGGTGAGTGGTGCACGGGGCCCTGCTCGAGCCAAGTCAAGTTTCAGCTGAGTCAAGCGCCCAGCACATGCCAAGAGGCCGCTCACAGTGCCCAGGACTCGCCCCGAGGGTTTTTGGCTGTATGGCCTCACGGCCGTATTTTTGATTGAATCCCCAAATGACTTCTCAGGAAGGAAGGAAATGGCTGTAGGAAATTGTTGCAGAAACCCCCCCAAAACTCATAGCTCAGAGCACTGACGATGCCAGCCGCCCACCGGGGCCACGCGGGCACCTACCGTTAATGATCCTGGCCACGCGCCACAGGCGCAGGAGTATCAGGAGCCCGACGGCTTCGAACTCGTGCTCCCGGAAGAGGAGGACTATGTCAAGGATGAAGGACACCACGACGACGACTCCATCCAGCACCTCAAACTTGTGGTGGAAGAACTCCCGGCCGTACAGGAAGATTTTAAACCCAACCTCGACCAGGAAGATGGTCAAAATGCAAAGGGAGAGGTAGTGCAAGACCTAGGAAAAGACAGGGCAAATTTAGGACTCAGAAATCCCCCTCCTCCACACAGTCACCTCACATGGGCTGGACAAGGGCCATGAGGGGCATGAGATGCCCCTGGAGCGGCTTGGCCAGGCTGGAGCAGGAGATGCAGAGTCCATGGTCGCCCACGGAGCAGCGTTTGAAGTGCTGCAGAGCTGGGAGCCGCGGTCAGCCCTGCTGTCTCCCCGCGCTTTACCTTGGGAGCTAGGTCGTATCTGTCCGGATGGATGATCTTCAAGTCCATGAGCAATTCCCCAAGGACCAGCAAGGCATCCACAATGACCAAGCAGACGACCACGACCTGTTGGAAGAGGAGAGCTGCCCTGAGAGTCCCTGCGAGGCAGGAGGATCACCTGGATGAGCTGGCACCACCCGACCCGACAGGGAAGAGGTGCTCGGCCACCCCGCCGCACCCTGCCCCCCTGGATGGTATCCGGGGGCAGTTAGTCAGTCATTCCCACAAACTCGCTTGGGTGAACCCCCTCGCTTTTGGCTCAGACCCAGCCTTGCCCCTGGTGGTCGGTCAGGTCCCTGGGAGCTGCGGCGGGTTGCCCTGAGCCCAGCCTGCTCCGCCTCACAGGAAACACCTGCACCCACCTCGCCCACCCGCTTCCCACGGAAGCGGTCCCGGCTCAGCAGAGGGGCTGCTCCGAGCCCGCGGGCACCGCTCCGGGGCCTCGCAGGCCATCGGGCACCAGCCCTGGCGGTGCTTGGGGCAAAGCCTCACCGGTATCCCCGCTTTCCCTAGGTTTATCTGGCCTCACCTGGAACCGGTGGGAGCTGAAGAGTTTTTTCAGCACATCCTGGAAGGTGACGCTGCCCCGGGCGGGCTCCAGCTTGAGCTCCGACTGCGGCTGCTTCTCCCCACTTTCCTGCCCGGCTGCTGCCTCGTCCTCCTCTTCCTCCCATTTGCGGTAGTCGTTGTTCCAACGTGCTGGGTCATCCCCCACCACCGTGAAGTGCTTCAGGTACCTGGACATGGCTCTGGGTTAAACTGGCACTGACAGCTGAAACACAAGAGCCAAATGTTACCCTGCACCGGTGGCACCCGGAGCCCCCCAGGAACAGGGCACAGCCGGCGCGTGACGGGCCCGGCTGACGGGAAGTTGCTCAACGGTGGGTTCTGCATCGTCTCCCACGCGGGTCTCCAGCACCTCGCGTAGGCGCTTCCTGCCCCAGGAGCTGCTGCCATCGCTCTCCCCAGCGTCCCGCTTGCCGCGTGACGAGAAACTTCCCTGTGTAGCATTACCAAACGCCTCGAAATCGAGCCGTAACCACCAGGGGAGACACCAGCCTTATCTCGGGGTGCAAGAAAGGAGGCAGCCAAAGCACGGGGGAAAAGAGACATCGCGTTTCTATGAGCTGTTTTTGTGGTCAAAACCTGAGAGCCGGCACTTTCCCTCCCTTCCCTTTGCCACCCCATTCAAGCCAAGCGAGGCTGCCCCGTGCCAGGAACTCCAGGACAGGCACCGCGGTGGCCAAGGCACTGTCTGGCTACAGCCGAAATGGGCCAGGGCTGCCGGCTCCTTGGCTCCGCACTGAAAAACATCCCAGCAGAAGCCTC